TCTCTCTCTCTCTCTCTCTCTCTCTCTCTCTCTCTCTCTCTCTCTCTTTCTTTCTTTTTTTGTTTTGTTTTTCCAGACAAGGTTTCTCTGTGTAGTTTTGGTGCCTGTCCTGGATCTCACCCTGTAGACCAGGCTCATAGAGATCCGCCTGCCTCTGCCTCCCGAGTGCTGGGATTAAAGGTGTGCACCACCACCACCCGGCATACTGTTTTTATTTCTGTTACCACTATTGTGATCATGGCCTCACTGGGTAGCCTCTAGCACACCGCCATCCTCCTAAGTCTTTCAAGTGCCAGGATGACAGGGGTCCACTGCCACATGTAGTTTGTGCTAAATCGATTTTTGCAACTTTCTCAGAGGTCACAACCCGTGATTTGAACGATAAAAGCCATGGCGTGGGGCCGTGGCTCATGCCCCTGGGACGGTTCAATGGGCAAAAGCGCCTGCCTGAGTTCAGTTCCGGGACCCACACAGTGGAGGGAAAGGACTGACTCCCACAGGTGTCCTCTGATGCCCATCCATTCGCTATGGAGCCCCTCCACCAAGGTAAAGAAATGCAAAGAGAGGAAGAAAAAATAAAGTACAGTCAGCGTCACAAGCTGTCCTCTTGGGGTCCAGGGTCTAGCCAACCTTTGACCTTCTGACATCATCTTCCACTCTCAGCTTCTGACCCCTGCATCTCTCCAGCCTTCTCAACAAGGGTCCATATCTCTCTGCCAGCTACATCAAGGCCAAGAGAACCCCTTTGAGCCCCTCCCATATGGTGAAAACTTCAACTTCCCAGGCGCAAGAGGGCCTCTGCAGGCATGAGGGGCCCACTGCCATAAATGAGGACAAAGTTGGGGGGTTCACACACGGGCTTCCTCACCACACCTTCCCACTGGGCTCCGTGCAGCCCCAGGGCCTTTGCACAGGCTGTGCTCTCCACTTGCTGCTCCCTCACGGTTCTCCATGAGTCACCTTGGTTCTCATGCAGACCCCAGAGAGGGTGCACGACCCACCAAGGGCACCCGGAGGGCAGGTGCTCAGGTCCTGAGCGCCCCCAGCTTCTCCCCTGTGGTTGGCTGGATCACAAGCTTCCTTTGCTGTGGAGGTGACAACCTCTATGTGGGGGCTGTGTCACTGGCCTAAGCCAGGCCCAAGTTTCTAGAACTCTCTCTCTGTCAAGAGGTCCCCCATAGTGTCACTTGGGCCATGAATGCTGAAGCCTGGGCATGCTGAAGGTTCTCTCAGGGACACTGAGGAAGGACGGATCATTCTCTGTGAGTGTCCTGGGCCCTGTGGGGTGTTGGGCCTCTCTGGCTCTGCACACGCCATGCCGGGAGCTTCCCCAATGCGGTGGCGGTCACTTTCGCCCAGACTTTTCTTTCAAATGCCCTCATTTGGCTTTGGGGAGGTTTTGGAGTGCTGGGGGGGGGGCTCCATTATGAACCCCAGCAGCCACTCATCTGCAAGATGTCCCAGGGCCAAATATCCCAGAGCGTAAAATCACAAAGTCGAGAGCCACAGCACCCGCTAGGCTCTTGCTTTGGTTTCTGAGTTACCTTTTTTATTACATTTTTTTAAATTTTTTTTTTTCTGAGACAGGATATCTCTGTGTAGTTTTGGTGCCTGTCCTGGGTCTCACTCTGTAGCCCAGGCTGGCCTCAAATTCACAGAGATCCACCTCGCTCTGCCTCCCGAATGCTGGGATTAAAGGGGTGCGCCACTACCGCCCGGCTTATTAAAGTTTCTGATCAGTTAGTGTGTGTGTGTGTGTGTGTGTGTGTGTGTGTGTGTGTGTGTGTGTGTATAAGGTGGTAGGGGAGAGCCCAGGCTTCACCATGCATGGGGAGGTCAGAGGCATCTTGCAGGAGTTGGTTCTCTCCTTCTCTCTCCAAATGGGCCCTGGGATTCAAACTTAGGTCACCACGCTTGGCAATAATCACCTCTACTTACCAAGCCCTGTTACTGTCCTCCCTGCAACCCCAGCAACCTGTTGTGAAATCACCCAGGCAGCAGCAGCCCTACCCTTCCCACTCCCGTCTCCTGAGTACCTGGATTAGGTTCCGCTGGCGGAATTCAGAAATCCCTTGGACCAGCAAGTACAGCTTCTTCTTGGCCAGGATATGCTCCCGGCCCATGCACAGGGCCTGCAGGAAGTAGGAGACGTGGCCAATCTTGCTGTTGAAGGTGGACGGGAGCCTGGGAGGCAAGTTGAAATGGAAGTCAAAGGTGTGGCTGCCTGCCCTTAACCAATTATCTGTAAGCAAAACACACCGAGGCCGTGTATGAGAACCTTCCAGAACCTTGTCTGGTGGGAGAACTGGGGCTAGGGCCTAACCACTGAGCCATACCCCCATCTTTGTTGAGGGACAGCTGAGAACGCTGGGCCCTCCTACCCTGCCTGCTTTTCTGTGAACTTGTTTTTTATTTTCTGCTCTCTCTCTCTCTCTCTCTCTCTCTCTCTCTCTCTCTCATTACTTTTCTTTTTGGTTTTTCAAGACAGGCTGGCCTTGAACTCAGAGATCCACCTGCCCCTGCCTCCGAAGTGCTGGGGTTAAAGGTGAGCGCCATCACTGCCGTGTGGCTATTACATTTTCATTTACTTGTTTGTGTGTGACGAGCATGTGTGTCTCCAGGCTTGGCAACAAGTGCCCTTACCCAATGGACCCTCTCTAAGCCCCCCCCCTTTTTTTTTAAAGATAGGGTCTCTCTATGTAGACCAGGCTGGCCTCAAACTCAGAGATCCTCCTGCCTCAGCCTCCTGAGTGCTGGGATTAAAGGCGTGTGCCACCGCTGTCCACCTCCAAAGCTGCTATTGCCTCCCTTCCGGAGCAATTTCCGAGATATCAGGACCATTATCTGTTGTATTCACAGTAGTAGGTTCAACACTTAGCACACATTTGGAAAACAGTCCATGCTCAGTAAAAGCCTAAGTAGCTGAATGAGTCACAAGGTATTGTGTTGCGTCTTTCAGGATGAGCTTTAGCTGGCCTGGAGGTCACTTCGTAGGATGACCTGCACTCCTGACCCTCCTGCCTCCCTCTCCAGCGCCAAGGTGACCAGTGTGAACCACCACCCCTGGGTAATGTGGTGCTGGGGATGGAACCCAGAGCTCTGTGCCATAGGCTGGCTCAAAACCTTCAGCAACCCTCCTGCCTCAGCCTCCAGAGTGCTACTGTATCCAGTTGAGTGTTAGCTCTTTCAGTGAAGAAAACACCCCCAACACTTGGCATGATGGTGCAGAGTAAAACCCTTTCTTAAAAACAAAGTAAGGTGCTGGAAATGGCGGTTAGAGCACTGGCTGTTCTTTTTTGTTTGTTTGTTTTTTCGAAACAGGGTTTCTCTGTGTAGCTTTGGCACCTATCCTGGATCTCACTCTGTAGCCCAGGCTGGCCTCGAACTCAGAGAGATCTGCCTGCCTCTGCCTCCGGCGTGCTGGTATCAAAGGCGTATGCCACCACTGCCTGGCACACTGGCTGTTCTTGCAGAGGACTCAAGCTGGATTCCCAGTGCCCACTTGGCAGCTCACACCAGTTGTAACTCCAGTTCCTGGGATCTGATGCTCTCTTTGGACCTCCTTGGGCACCAGGTATATACATGGTGCACAGATACATAAACAAAATATTCATGCATATAACAAATAAATATAAAAAGTATTAAAAACAAACCCAGGGCACGATAGAGTACACTTCAACCCCAGCACTTGGGAGGCAGAAGCAGGAGGATTGCTGAAAGTTTGAGGTTCTCTGTAAGTCTGAGGCCAGCATGGTCTACAGAACAAGTTCCAGGACAGTCAGGGCTACATAATGAGATCTTGTCTCAAAAAAAGACAAAACTAAACTAAACCTCAAACTTAGAAACCCTGTGAACACCCCCAACAACCCAATAACACGGTTTGGGAAGGAACCAGAGTCCCCAGTGATGATGTAAGCCCCTCTCCTGAGGCCTTCCAACTGCCAGGTTCCACCCACAGAACACTCTAAGTGCCCTACAGAGTAAAAAGCCCAAGCTCTGGACTTGAAATCCAACCAATCCCCATCCTAAAAAGCTCCGTCCCCCCACCCCAAGAAACTCTATATAAACCCTGCCTTCTGTTCAGTTCCCTGCTATTTCTTGCCTGAGCAGAGGCAGCCACCTTCCTGGATTTTCCCCTCCCAATAAATCTCTTGTGTGAGGTTTGTTGTGCAGTGTAACTTTGTGGTATTTCTTGGTTCCCGACTTCCAGGATACCTTTCCATCTGAAGTATAATGCTTGCATATGTCAGAGCTGGGTTGGCAGGGCTGACAATCTTTGTCCTGAGTTCTCTGTCCTCCCCTCCTCCCATGTGACCTTCAGGACCTCTTTCTGGATCTTCTGGAGTCTCAGCACCAGAGGGAGATGTTCATGAATTCTAACAAGAATGGACTCTTCCAGGGCCCCTCACAGCCATTTGTGGGACTGAATATAATACCTCCCAGGAGTTCATTTGGGATGTCTCTGTCCTGTGTGATTCCTGAGTCTTCATATCTTCACACTGGTCAGTATTTAACATAACTTCCCTCTGCCTATCTCTAATCCATGATACTCCCAAGGATTGTTGATTGACTAGCAGATGTATTTGCCTTCCAGCCCCAGGCTGCTTTCTTACCTTTTATTGGGAATGTCTTTGTTTTATGTACGTAATCTGCCTTATTATTGCAAATAACATCTCTGCTATAATCGCGGTTCTGTCCAATTTCTTCGTTCCACTCAACGTAACCCCTACCCACGAGCTCCACCTTCACAACAGGGTCCACGAGGGTACTGTTGAGGATGAGGACCACCTGCCCATCTATGTTCGAACCGGCCAGGTAGACTGCATCCTGGGGCAGCACCACCTCGATGGACTTCACCACAGTCATGGGAGGTTGGGCGGGGGGAGACACATCCTTTCCCTCCCCCGAGTACCACCCAGGTCCCCCTGGGCTACTCAGCTGTGATGACCTCTGTGATATCACTACACCCAGAGTTCCGGGAAGGGAGACAGGTTCTCTGATAGCCCAGGCTGGCCTTGAGCTCTTTCGGTATCCAAGGATGACTTTGAATTCCTGGTCCTCCCTCATCTCTGGGACCATCACACCCCAGTCCTGACCCTGGCTTCCTAGGACATCATAGAAAACCAAGACCCTCCAGTCTGGGCCTGCGACTCCAGGCCTGTCCCCACATCAACTTAGGAGGCTGAGGCAGGAAGCTCAAAACAGTTCAAGGCTAGCTTGGGCAACTTTGTGTGAAGTTTGGAATAAAATAAACCAGAAGGCTTGGGGGCTTATGCTTTTAATCCCAGCACTTGTGAGGCAGGAGGATGGCCAAGTTTGGGGTCAGCCTGGGGCTTGTAGTGAGTTTCTGGACACTGAAGTCTGAGCCAGACATCCTGATGCTCTGTGGGACTGTTCCTTGTCTGTGGTCTGTCTTGACTTGCCTTGTGTGATTGCTTTTGTGGACAGTGACATCATGTCTCCCTGCTTTTTTTTTTTTTAATGAAAATTTAAATTTTTTTTTTTATTTGTAAGTGGGTGGGCACATACATGTGAAGGTTGGAACTCATGGAAGTCAGTTTTCTTCCCCTATCTGTGTTCAGGATTGAACTCATCTCCTCAGTCTTGACAGCAGTCACCTCCGCCGGCTGAAGCTACCTTGTATGCCCTGATTTTTAAAGTTAAAATGTTATTTTATTGTTTGCATTTTTGAGACAAGGTCTCATGTAGTCCATGCTGGCCTGGAATTTGCCATGTAACTGAAGATGACTCTGAACTCCTGGTCCTTCTGCCCCTACTGTCCAAGTGCTGGGGTACCAGGTGTGTGCCACCAGGCTATTCAATCTGGGAAATCCTTTGCCACACTTGTAGAGTCTACCTCACTGTGGAAGGTCCTTTTCTCCCAGACCTTGGAGATGAGGGCCTGGATACCGTTGGAGGTCACAGGGAGATACTTGAAACATTTTTGGAGGGACAACCTTGTAAGAGCTCCCCAAAATGGGGGTAGTGTACCACTGTTAGCCCAGAACTAGGAAGGTGGAGGCTGGAGTTAAAATCATCTTTGGCCACAAAGCAAGTTGGGGCTAGCCTGGGCTATGTGGGACCTGTTTCTAAAAACAAAAACAGTTAAACAAAAATTGGAAGTTTTCTGCTTAAGGACCTCCAAGGTAGAAAAGTCAGAGGCCAAAGTCCTTCCTGTGGCCTCTGAGGTCTTACCTGTCCTTTGTCCCAGCCCAGGGGCCGCCTCTGCCCCCCCCCCCCCAGCCTTCTCCACTCCCTTATGTGTCCTTGGCGTTCCCCAGCCGGAAGTGCCTCTGTCCCAGCCCCCAAGTGGCCGCTGGTCACTTCCGACCTCATGGCTTGTGGTTGTACCTGGAATTGTCCTCTAGACATGAATTTTTCTCTTGCTTGTTCCTTAACCAGAATTTGCTTTACTAAAGACCCCAAATGCTGGAGGGGAGGGTGTGCCTCCCATGCAGTTGGGCCCTGCAGCTCTGGTCTCTCTGGTCATCAGTTACTGCAGATGCCCAGAGCCGAGTGCCCGCCAAGAATGGTCAGAATGGAACAGACCGGGGCGGAGGGGGCAGGGAGGCGCTGCCCGCCTGGACAACTCGCAGAAGGCGGGAAAAAAATCAGGCGGGAAAAGAAGCCCTGCGGGTGGGTAGCATGGGGGAGGCACTAGCAGCGCCCTGATGTTACTCAATGCGCTCAGTGCGTCTGGGGGTGCTCAGGATATGGGGTGCAGGATGTCTGGAGGAGAGGCACCCCTCAAGTTCCCCTGGGGTATATGGTCAGAGATTCGGGTCATAGATTTAAGAGGTCAAAGTGTGTCCAGCAGAAGGGGAATGGGCACGTACTGAGGTCAGACGTCTCTCTGCGCGGGGTGGGG